GTTGGTGGTGGCACACGGCGGCAAAAAAGCTATAACCGGCGGCAACCACCATGGTTGGCTGCCATGGTGGTGCACTTGCTCTCCGGCGACACAAACATCCCAAACACACTTATAACAAATGGAAACACAACCACACACACCTAAACACGCACTTGAAGCACAATCACACACCCATACAACTCACAGCCACCGGATGACACATGGCGGCGACAGCGGAAGTAGAAGAACTAGCTGCAGGTGGTGGGATTTGCGATAACAGCCACCATGGTCGGCTGCCATGGTGGTTCTTCACGGCTCCTACTAGACAGAGGCCCAAACCTAAAACACAACAACCCCTCCGGGTGGTAAACGACGAACGGAGCATCGTACTTGAGCCATACAGAAGCAACGGCCAGACTGAGAAATAGCACTAGGAGAATGATGAGGGGTGAATGGAGGCCATCGTGGACCAAAGCAGCGTTGACCACCGGCTAGCTACGCTTCATCTTCAACTGATGGAGCGTAACGGTGGCGGCGAACACACTCGGAACCCGTCATCGACTTGATCCCACTAGAAGCTAGGGGTTGTGATGCGTTTGCAGATCGGAAACGGTGGTTGACGACCTCAACAGAGGTTGTGGTGCGGCGTCGGAGGACGAAGAAGCGAGAGTGGCGGCTGGAGGAGGAGGCATAAGGAGATGACGGCTGGAAGGCTTTGCTAGGGTTAGGGTTATAGAACCTTAGGGAGGAGGGAATCGTAGCGGGTTGGAGTGAGCGGGTTTGACCAGGTAGGAGGAGAGGGTGGGCGGGAGGAGAGCAAGAGAGAAAAGAGGGTGTTGAGCGGTTTCTTGAAACCGCTGGAGGGTTGAATCGCAGAAGAAAAATAAGGAAGATGGGTTGGGAGTGCTGCGGTTTAGGCGGGTTTGGCTCCCTCCACAAAGGGTTTGGCGGGTAACGGGAAGGACGGGGACGATTCCTTCCTCCCATATAAACCCGATCCTATAAGAGTTTACCATAATTAACAAAATGGTCCCTCCAGCTCCAATTAATTTTGAAATAGATCCATATTTTACCCTTTTTAACCTCATCCATGTAAATCCTTTACAATTTAAGTCCCATATTTTACTAAGTGGCCCATCCCTCTATAATTGTTTTTAAATGATGTCCATAATTAACACTTTATCCCCTGGTTTCATAAATCCTTATAAACGGGGTCTAGAACTTACGCTTTTAACCCCCGACTTCTAAAATTGTGACAATTAGCTCTTTGAGACCATCCTTTACATATAATCATTTATTTTAGGACTACTATCCGTTCATTTATTTATTTATTTATTTATTTATTTATTTATTTATTTATTTATTTATTTATTTATTTATTAAATAAATAAACGGGGTGTTACATTGACTTTCAAGCTTCCTTAACAAATTCCACCTTTCAAAGCTCAAACACACTCAAATAAAGTTCACACACGAAATAGGGTTTTCTGGACTCTCTAGGGGTTGTAGGGGACTGAGGGGGCGCTAATGATCCCTTAAATAGGGTGAAAAACCCCGAAAATTAGGGCTTCATCTGCCAGCTCCTACTAGTCGAGTCACTCTTCCGACTCGGTGAGTCAGTCACTTAACACGTGGCCCAAACCCGCTGCTACTCGATGATTCAGGGCATCCAAATTGTCGAGTAAACCTTAAAACTTGAAGGTTTACAGCAATAATATTAATACCTGATGATCGGGGAGTTACACTCCAGAAGGTATAAATTCTATACCTTGATGTCTTGGTTGTTAGATCCCATTTTTGGGAGTTTTATGTTGTTTTTCTTGTCCCAAAGGTCCCATTCTATGCATGTTTGGTTATTTTCGTTTTGAGTTGTCCTTCCAGACTCTAGGAAGGGTCCTAAGCCATAAAAATGAGGTCCCAATGGCTAGAATTGTCTCATGCATCTTGTAGAAGGTCTTAATGGATTAAGACCTTGTGTTAAGGACTTTATGGACATGCAAAGTCATAAAGTTGGAGACTTTATGACTCTAGTGTGCATTTGGACCATAGATCTGAAGTGTGAGCTTGAGTGCTTAATACATTAAGCACTTAATGAAATTTTTGAGTTTGAGAGGTTAGTCCCCGCGTAGGTGGGAGTACGCCCCGCATGCTTGGTCAGCCACCCCATAATCTAGTCAATGCGAGGCTTCATGTACGCTTAGCATACCTCTGGGTTACGCCTCGCGTAACCACATGAGTCGGCCCTTATTGAGTTGACTCGGCTGGGTTGACTCAGTTGGTTTAGTGGGTTTGACCAATTAACTTTGAGTTTGACCATGTTTGATTTTGAGGGCATTTTGGGTATTTCGAGATTTTTATGGAATTGGTCACTTGGTGGATGTAGGTATTGTGTAGAGAGCTGAGATTTGGATTCGGGCCTCATCAGTTTTTTCAGCTGCGAGGTGAGTTTTCCTCATTATTCACCAAGGTCGATCCATTGGTTTGATAACCTGATATTCGTTGATATATTGAGTATGGAATAGATATGCATGCTAGTTTTGATATGCTAGTTTGGTGGATCTATAGGACTACCTATGATAATGTCTGATTATCTGTGTATGTTATTATCTGTTATATGTCGACATATTGTGTGGGTTGGGTTGAGGTTGTATTGGTTAGTGTGGTAACCAACAAACCCTGGAACAAGCCATATATGAGCTGAGGGTCGGGGATGGCATGTCAAACTCATACTGACAGCTCATAAGCATTCTAGATACGTACTGAGGGCCGGGGAGGGCATGTCAGACTCGTACTAAGGGGTTAGTGGTATTCAGTCCGAGGACTGATCTGGCTGTGGAGTAAGTCAGACATAAGTTGTGGGTCGAGGGCAAGTCAAAATTAAGTTGTGGGCTCAAGAGTAATCAAGTTTGTTAGTTGTGAACCCATTGCATGTTGTTATTGTATATGTGTTATTTGTTATGTGTTTGTATTTTAGGGGAACTCACTAAACTTTAGGCTTACAGTTTTGGATTATGTTTCAAGTACCTCAGAGGATCGCGGAAAGGCAAATGCGTGATCGTGCACCTCCTCGTGTTTTGTTTATGATTTTGGGAAAACTCTTTTGAAAACTATTTTGTAAACAATGATCATTTATGTGTATGTTTTAAAAGTTTAAATTTTTCATGAATTTTATGAATGTTACATTTACACCAAAGAACTTAAACATCATACAACAAATGTATAATCCAAAATACTTTATGGTTGTATTAGTTTGTTATTTGAGTCTAAATTACTCTGCTTAGGGGTTTGCAAAATTTAAATAATTGTTTTTCGTTTTTTGTTGTTCACTGAAGTTGCACCACTATATTATGTATTGATTGTATTTATTTGTATCATCTTTTCTTCAAACGATGTCTTCTAAGTATCCAGTTTAGCATTCAACTCAAACCTAAACTCAAACCTACTTGTCATCAAAAACATACAACATGGTGCTTTTTCATGAATCTCACAAGAAGTCATGTCCTTCATTAAAGGAAATATGTGCCAGCTAAGAGCCGATTCTTGATGCAGCCCAATTTCTATTGAAAGTTACTCTGTGTTGTCAACTACAAATTGTAGACTTAAAGTACATATATTGAATTAAAGCTCCAAATGAGTACATAAGAGAAAATATTTGATGCGGCTTATAATCATTCTGATAAAAGGAAATCCTTTAAAGCATGCTTGATTGAAATGTCCTACAAACGTCCAACGAATTCTCGCGTGACTTCATGTGATCGTTTATCTTTCTGCGGTATTAAATCATTAGTCCTCTTTTCTCATATTGAAATTATTGCATTTATTATAATATTGTTTTCTTTTCCTCGTGCTACAAATATGATTACTTTTGAGTAAACTCACACATAATTAAAACTTGTTTTCTCCAAGATAAAATGGTTTATTTGATAAAAAAAAAAATTAGATGAGAATCATGTAACTAATACATAGTTAATAATTATTTTCTATAAAAATAGTCAATTATTCAGAAATTGTATTCGATTCGATGTATATGAATTATGAAATTATGATTGTGACTAGCGATGAAGAAAGCGGTAGATAAATAAATGGAGTAACGACTAAATAGGAACACGGCATGTGAGTTAACACTTGGTTGTAGGCTTTACTACACTCTTGGGGACCATACATTCCACTTTACACTACAACCTTAATTATGACCAATAAAAAACAATTTTAATAAATACTTTTTTTTCTCATAAAAATAGGTAACCATGTTACTATTTGAACCAGGTTTTCAGACCCATGCTGAGATAAATAACAGCTTTGGAAGGGTACCGATTTGGTTCAACTTAGCCCTAAGAAACAGTTATGAGCAGTTTATAACATGGTGACCGGATAAAAAGATGAGTTGTCAAAATTGCCAAAAATCAACTTATTATTTAAAAGAACGGTGATTCTTGACTTAAGATATTGATTTGTCCTAATAAAATATATGTTTTAGTAACTTTTACATAGATGCAAATATGTTGTACCTTAGGTCATGACCCAAAGGTATATTTAGTTATTTACTACATGACCACTTAAAAATACCCAACACACAATATCATCAAAATAATATATTTTTCAATTGTTTAATTAACTAAATTATATATATATTTTTAATTTACTAAATGAAATAAAAATACTAGGTTTTTATTAAAATTAACACATTGCATTAATTAAAATTTAAAACAATAATAATAATAAACAAAAACATAATAAAATGATATCTCTAGATCATCCTCCTTGTAATCTTCGATTTTCATCTTCAAATTTTCTAAATCATTTTTTTTCCAAGTTACTTTTCTTTATATTCTCTTTTGGCTTCCTCCATGATCTCAACATTCTGCTCTTGGAGTTGAACGTATAGATTAAATTTATCTTTAAAATGATCGACATTGATTTGCCTCAAAAATTTTGAACTCAAACCATAAATCACTATCTTCGCTTTATTCCTTCCGATGGACAGATGTCGAGGTTCTTCCACTTCAAAACCATCCAGCTCATCATTGATGTCGATAAATGTACTCCCATCCGATTGTTGTGAGTGGATATGTTATTGGGATTTTTTCCTTGAACGTGAACCTAAAGAGACCAAATCTTCATTTAGAAGTCATTTTCGACATTTCTTCACCTCATATCATAGCATTTAGAAAATGCTCATGGGTTGGTTTACATATTTTGGCATTGTTTGAGCAATACAGCGAATCATTGGCCCCATTTTTGTACGCTCTTGAGCTTGTTGTGACAACATTTCTGTCAAATTTAGTTATTTTTAATCTCATATATCGCCATTTTTTGACATAATTTAGGCTCTTGCTTCCGTCTAATTCCTAGCTCCGGTTGGAACAAGTTTAGGTTTCAAAAAATAATTATATACAAGTACTAGTTTTCTTTTCCAATTTCTCCATTAACTTGTGTAATTTAATAGTATCCTATTTTTCGCAAAAGTTGGCAACAGATGAATCCAATTATTGGAGATAAATTTCCTATTTCATATATCCAAAAATTGAATCATTTTTTTATAACTCACGGAAATAATTTAGGTACAAAAGAGCAGTATTCCAGCTGCCTTCATGAAGACCAATAAGTGCAAACGAATATTAGACCCTACAAGTTTTCAAACCAATTGCCTTCCATTTCGGGAATGTGCTTTCATTCAGACCACCACCGGTATATAAGGGCGGTTGACACACCCCACCCACAATCAAAGGGAAAACAAAAACATTTCCAAAAAAAGCAAGAGACGTGCTAGATTTCATAATAAATATCTTTAAATAATACAAGCTTGTGATAACATGCTCCAAAATAAATTAGTTTTACTACATTAATTAAGGGAATCCTAGGCTAAGCTACGAAATGATTTTGCATGGCAAATGTTTGCTTTTTCATTGGGAATTAAGGGAGAGAAAAATATGGAAATCGTTACTTTTGTTTTTGAATTTTGGATCTGATTGGTTTTGGCTTTATAATGTTACCAAGGAGGATTAGAACAACTGGGATGATAGTTCCAATGTAGTACACGCTCCCATATGCAGCCAGTGTTTCATTGAAATTTAACACCTGTGAACACAAATTAATTAATATGATAATAAAATTAACATCCATTTTTTAAGTTTATTATAATAAGAAACAAAGTAAAATTGACACTAACCATAAAACCAACACATGAGTAGTTTAGGACAAGAAGGGTGTAAGCGAAATTCATGAGCATAAATATCTTCTTGATATTTGGTGGGACCGATTGTTGCCATCTGTAAATGGCTGCTCATACGCAAATAAGAAAAAAAAAAGCGAATTAGCAATTTTATGACAATGGAATGGAATGATCTATTCCATCCTTTGTGATTCCATTCCATCAGACCAAACAGACACTAAAACTTGAAGTGATGATCAAAGATTCTTTACCTCTTGAACCAGCAATCATCAAAGCAGATTGAACAAAGAATATCATGTACCCAGGATATAATCCCTGTCATTATCACAAACATGTATATACTTTTAATTTGTAAGAATTTTTTAAAAATAATAAAATAAAATAAAAAGAATAAAAGTAAAAAATTAAACTTACATGCCATACAGCACTAACAGTCTGTGTTGCTAGCAATTGCAAAAAGCCAGCCTTCTTTCCCTTCTGAACAAGTCTGTCATAAACATCTGATAACACAAAAACAAATATTAGATTAAATAATCCGTCTTAATGGGTGACTAATTGACCATTTTACCCTTACATTCCAGAAAAAACAATATTGGTCAGATTTTAACATGAATGAGACTAAATGACCATTCTACCATTACATTCCAAAAAACAAGATCGGTCAAATTTTAACATGAATGAGATTAAATGACCATTCTACCCTTATATTTCAAAACAAAAGATTGGTCAAATTTTAACATGAATGACACTAAATGACAATTCTACCCTTACATTCCAAAAAAAAAAGATTGGTCAACTTTTAACATGAATGAGACTAAATGACCATGTTACCCTTGAACTGAAAACTTGGAAGGAAAAGACTTACAATGACGAAGCCAAGTGCTGACTTGAATGTTCCAAACAAGTGGCAACTCAACTGAACTTTTAGCAAACTCAACACCCAAAACATCAACATTTTTGGCACGATCCCAGAGGGGTTTAGGCGAGGGCGAATTCGTCCAACCACTAAAACCAAGGCCCGAAATGATAAGAGAAGCTTCTGAAATCGACCAAATGAAATAATATTTCCAACGGGCTGTAAAGCCCGACATGTATTGGTAGCTCAAACGTTGCACAAATCCCCATTCTTGATAAATTGGCTCACTGAATCTTGATAATGGATGACTTGGGACAAGATATAAATATAATCCCATGCAAAAACCAGCTTGAAGAAGAGCTTTTAATGTTGCCAGGAATGGTGATGGTGTGCCTTTCTCAGATTTTGTCCAAATCTGTATAGAAAGTGGAATTCAAATGAGGGAAGATTAAAGAAATGAGAAAAAACAAAATTTTGAAAGTTGAAATTACGATTTTACCCCTTTTCTTTCGGTCCAGTCAAGGTAATCTTTGACTTCATAAACTGGTCCTGCAAAGTGGCTTCCACAACAGAGGCAGTATCCGATGTATTCGATTAAATTTGGTAATTTGAGTAATCGGTTTTTCTTTTGGGATTCGCGAAGATCTTCTTCTTTTAATAATCCATCGTTGTAATTAATTGCACATGAAATCACTTTTAATGTTATCACCATGAGAGATCCTACATAAAAAGGTATAAGAGATGGATTAAATTTAATGTTTTCAGCTCAAAGTCATTTCATTTTGAGATGAAAGATAGTGTGCGTGTGTGTGTTTACCTGTGGCATCAATGCCTCCTTCCTTCCATGCATCTCCACTCATGTAGTATACATGGCTACATGTTTTCCAATGGTTAACAATGATTAATCATTTGATTTTCAGGTTATTGAATGTAATATATCTTAAAAGAATAGTCTGAACTTATTTGGTATTAACAAAACACACGGAAGATAAATAGGTTAAGTTGACCGTTGAATTCCTTGATTATAAAGAAAAGAATACATACATTATAAAATCTTAGCCTTTTGTTTTTGGTAAAAACTAAAAATTTTCAAATCCTGAAAACAGTTGTTACTTTCTCAAGAACAGGGAAAATGCTCATTATCTAAAAAATGTATACTTCTACTTTTGATATCAAATGTTTTGATTTCCGTTCCAAATAGATTATGAATTATCAGTCTTTGATATGGTTCAGTTGACCATTAAATTCGAATGAAGTTGAAATTCTACAAGCTTGGTTAGCAATTAATTTGTTCTTCTGAATCTGACAATTTTATAAATCAGTATTTGTAATGGAAGAGGGGGAAATGTATCACACTGCATTCACATAATAATGACCTTTATTTGAGATTGAAAAACTGTTTGTTTTATCAAATCCATGCAGAAAAAATGATAATAATAATAATAAACCCCAAGATCGAATTAGTTGTGTTAACTAGACAAAGTAATGCATGCTAAGCACTTAAAGCATACGAATTTCACGAAGATGAACCCTAATTTCTCAATACGATTCAAATGAAAGTGAAATTTCAAAATTTACGATCTAATGTAAATACTGTACCATCCAATGAGGTAACCCATGGCTGACAGGAAGGAAATTACACCGCATCGTTTCCTATAGATGATCATTGACGCGTAACTAATCAGCATAGGCACGAGGAAGTGCAGATTCGAAGAGAATCCAAAGGAAATGTAGGAGAGCAGGGCGCCCGTCAAGGCGGCGTAAAGGTGTCTGGCGGTGGGGCCGCCGGGGACAAGGCGGTGAAAGAAGCTGACAGGAATAGTTGCAACGAAGCAGAGAAGGAATCGGAGTACCGCTACTGATACTCCGATCGCCGACGCCATTGATTCCATTTCCATGGTTCTCTGCTTTCTCTCTCACGCAGAAACACACACTGATGGGACTGAGTTTACGAGGAGTCGAGCGCTTGTATAAATCGGCCAACACAGTCCCAAATCCAAACACAAAGTAATATATTTTTAAAGGAAAATGACAAAAAAAAACCAGCATATTTTAACCTTTTTACTTTAAAAAGCCTGAATTTATTTTTTTAATAAAACCACTCCTAATGACAATTAATTTGTTATTGATCAAATTGCAAAAATATTAATTTATTAGAAAATAGTTTATAAGCGGTGGAACTACGGTCATAAAATTAATTAAATTTTAAATTCACAACTATTAATCAATTATTTTATATAAATTATTAATTAAAAAATAGTTTAATTAGTTATGTAAAATTATAATCATTGATTCAAATAAATATGTGAAATTAATTTTCAATATATATTAGATAGTTTTTATTTGTGAATTAATGAAAACAACAATATAAAAATCTAAAATTTAAAATGGAGAATAACTAAATTGACAAGTAGCATCATATTAATTAGAAAGTTTAATAAATTTAGGATGGAAAATTAATTATTAGGAGGTCTAATATGATGACACGTGACAAAATATCTACTCTTTTATTAGTATATGAAGATGAAGATAAGGATAGCTCATAGTTTTTTCTTTTGTTTCCTTGATGAACCAGATTATGACCCGCGCTAAACGCGGGGAACGTATAAATAAAATACAAACGTATATAGATATTGCAGAATAATTATAAAAAAAATAAATTAAGGTTATTGGTATTATTAAAATGTGTGGAAAATACACTGAAATCGGTAAATATATATAGTCATTGAAGGTCCTTTTTGTAGACAACATTTTTTGTTTTATTAGTTAAACGACCTTCCTCGTCACATATGAGTACATTCAAACATTTTTAACTTGTGACACTGGAAATAACTACATATAACTGACCATACGTGAAAACAAGTCTACACAACTATAATCCACATTGGACAATGTACTTTCAAAATACATTGTTATTTTATGGTTATATTGTGAAATAGAAGTGTTTATTTTAAAAGATAGCAACTTATTTACATTCCTTAAAATGAACCACATAAACACCACACAATATTAAATATAAAGAAACTGTAACCAATAAATATAAAAACAACTATGTTTGCTTGATTTAGATATAATCCATGACTCGTTGAAAATATCAAAAGACAACATTGCGACACAACTTATCTGTTATTATGAGACAGATTAAACAATTTAAACATATGAAGATGTCTTTTTTATTTTATGATAATTATAAAATAATGGAAAAATGAATGTTTATTTCAAGACATTTGCAAATGTCTGAGTAAGGTTTGTAGTCTTAACTATTGAGTATTCATATCTTTTACATATAGCTATTAAATGGTTATTCGAGATGAATTTATAAAAAAAAAAAAAAAAAAAAAAAAAAAAAAAGTTTTCATTATATACTTATTTAGTACAAAAGTAGACAACCGTAATTAAATCAAGGACAAACCATTAAGAAAATTGGTAAATTAATGTTCTATTTCTTAAACATGTGATAAGGTAGAGAAATATCAGGATATGCAGTTAAAAGTTCGAATTCCTTCATCACTCTCTCAATAGGTTCAACGGACAATACTAAAAAGATCAAAAAAATAAAATTTTCAAATAGATATTAATAAAATATGCCCGAATTGATGAGAATGTTAAAAAAAACGGAGGTGTCAATAACCTACAATTTGATGAATAGGGGATCTATTAAACGATTTAAGATGAGAAATCATCTACTAAGAAGATACTTGAATACAACATCAAACGGTCATAAAATGTTAACGGAAAGAAGCGTCAATCGTAAGGAATGAAATTAAATGTTTTTGGAAGGAATGAAATTTGTCAAATGAGAATAACATGTACCTCCGACTATCAAACATAGACCAATTGAAGCAAATTTTGCATTATTTGACCAATTTTAGCATTATTAGCATCCTAACTTTCATATAAAAAAAAATCTTTTTTGCATCTGATCATACTAATGTTTTTATAATTATTACCATTCTGTAATTTACGTTCTTGAGAGTTTTGAAAGTACATTATTATATATTGGTTGTTTTTTAAAGTTCATTGCTATTTTTTGTCGGTTTAGAAGTATGTTTCGACCATTTTTGCATCAGATAAACAACATATGGGTTCTTTTAGTATTACTGGAATCCTACTTTCATATAAATTATTCTTTTTCGCATCAGACAAAATGGAAAAATAACAGATAATCGGAACAAAAAAATAACACAGAGATAATCCAAATGAAAAAATAACATGGAGATTAGAGATGCACACGAAAGCCTGATTCACCCTCAAGATTTGAACCAATCCAAAAATCGGATTTTGTCAAAACCAGTTTTGACCGAACTGAATCGAATTAAACTGGTGACCGGATCGAAACCGGTTTGGAGATTCAAACGCAAAATCGGATTAGACCCCATATCGTAAACCGGATTCGTAGAAAACCGAATCTTAAACTGGTTTTTTGTGAGCATTAAAAAAACAGGAATTTTTGAAAAAATCATTTTTTTTTTCTAACCGTTAGAAGGCTCCAAAAAACGGTTAGTTTGACTATTTTTGACTTTTTGACCTTCTTAACACATATAAATAGATGATATTTTCTAGATTTCAATGTTACACAAAATTTCACTACTTCTAGACTTCTAGTTTCTTAACACTCCAAAAAAAAATGAGCTTGAGAAATTCTATCACCGTAGTTAAGAGTCAGATGTAACCTTGGTGAAAATCTGACCAACTGATCGGAATAAAGAAGTGTGGGAACATTTTAATTTGGTGCTATTGTTGAACAGGAAGGAAAAAGCTCGATGCAAGAAGTGCGGGTTGTTAATGGGTAAAGATGGCAATAGTACTTTGAAGAGTCATGCAACTAAAACTTGTGCGATTGTAAAAGATCAAGGCGATTTGGATCAATCGAATATTACTCCCGGCGGAGAGATTTTTATGTACAACAATAATGATATTCGTGAAAGCTTTTGCAAGTTCGTGATTCAAGAGGTATTACCTTTCAACCACTTTGAGAACCCAAGGTTGCCAAGGATTTTGCGGAAAAAATGCAACCTCGATATCGACAAGTAAATCGCACTACTCTTAAACGTGATGCTATAAAGTATTCAAGTATAGCCAAAAAAAGATATGCAATTGAGATTTGTAAATATAAAAACCAATTTTTCTTTAACGTGTGATGTTTGGTCCTCCATCGGAAGTTGTCCCAAAAGTTATCTTATCGTCATAGGACATTGAATAGATCCCTCTACTTGGGTAACAAACAAATGAGTTATTATTTTTGAACTTTTTGCGCATCCTCATACGGAAGCACGATTAAATACAATTTTAGTAAGCGTTATAGAAACTTATAATTTAAGCGACAAAATATTCTCTATTCCGTTTGACAATGCAAGTAACATTACCGCCACCGCAAAAAGATTAATTGCAAAATATAAACCTATTTTAGATGACTCGTTTTTTCATACTTGATGTGTTTGTCACATAATTAATCTTGCGGTACAAGATGATTTAAGAATGATAGATTCTACGATTAAAAAATTCAAAAATGTGTTAACAAGAGTTTTTGGAATAAACAAAGCGACAATGGAAAAATATCAACGTTTTCCACTTTCCATCAAAGTAACCCCATATAGTCGTCCTCTTTCCAAATAAAAACTCCATATAGTCATCATTGGGATGTTGACACTAGATGGAGTTCAACTTGCATAATGTTTGAAAGTTTGACACGTCAAAGAATCTCTTTACAATTATTTTACGATACAATTTCAAAAGAAAAAAAAAACTCGATTTCGGATTTTAATTGGGATTTGATGGAAGAGTTTGTGGACATATTAAAAGTTTTTAAACAATTAACGACTTTTTTTATCGGGCGTATATTATCCTAAAAGTCCTTTGTTACTAAATGAGTTATAGTTGATGTCCGTACAATTGGAACGTTTTGAACAAAGAAGTGAAATATTTGTTTGATTACGAAACCAATGAGAGCAAAATGAGTCAAATAGTTTAAAGAGATGTCACCACTTTTTACGTGCATCGCGGCTTTAAACCCATGTAACAATGTTATGAGCGTAGAGACTTTATTTACCAAAATTTTCATCTCTTTAAATTTGTAAATAGATGATTCTAGCTAAATTCGTAACCAAATCAACGATTTCAATAATATTTTTATTAATTTGTTTGACATTTATGCAAGAAAATATGGTGAAATGTCACACTTTTTTACCAGTGTATCCGAAGCTACTAGTGGTGCATCGGCTAGTAGTGGAGGTCAAACGGATTTTCATATCGACCTTTATAACTACCTTTTGGAGGAACTAAACAAACAAGCACCCACATTAACACCTAGTAGGGAACTTGGAATTTATATGGGCTCAAACTTTTTAAAATTCATGAGTGCACCTTAATTTAAAATTTGGATCTTTTGGCTTGATGGAGAGAAAATGAAGCAAAATTTCCTATTCTCTTCGTCATGGCCCGCAATTTACTAACCGTCCAAACTTCCACGGTGGCTTTGGGATCTGTTTTTTTCTTTTAGCGGTATGGTTTTATCAAAGCTGAGAATGAATCTTACCTCGGTTGCGATGGAAGTTTACGTTTGCTTGAAGGATTACTTGGATTCGGTGGAACGTACACAACACTTGGCATCACCAGAAGGCTAACTAGCAAATAATGTCGAATTGGAGATAATGAAACAAGAATATGAACAAGGCTTATCAATGCCTCTAGAACTAAATGAAGACGATAATGATGAAGACGAAGATGAAGAAGATGGTATTGATGAGACCCTTATTTATTTGCTTGGAGGTTGAAAAACAATTTAGTGAAGACGACACTAAATAGAGGACCACAAAATTTGAAGACTATTTGAAAAAAATGTTATAACGCAACTTTATTTATATTAGTTAACTAGTTTGATATTAGTATCAAAACTCTTTATATTTCAATGTTTGAGGTATGTTTTAAGTATTCTAATGAACTTATGTTGCATTTTGTGTTGAATTTGAGTGTTTAAAAATGTTTTTTT